GAAACAATTTCCCGGGTGCATATTTTGTAACCATAGTTGGTGCACAAAAACAAACGTTCCCAATTCAGCAGGAAAGGTTTACTACAGGTTTGAGTGGGACAGTCGCCCCCAGATGGCGGGATTTGGTATATGAGTGGTCGGGGAAGCGGTGGCCACAATTACCAGGTAATGAAACTGGCTGAGAGTCTAGATATACAGTAAGATTCACAGATTCACGAATTGATACACAGAATTGATGCTTTCGCCCAGGATTCCCGGGTATATTATGTCCATTTAGTTGAGCGGCTTTCGTTCTTCTGAACGGCAAAGCTTGTCAGCGAAAGGACTCGCATAGAAGGCGTGTAATAGTGCTTTGAACTGGGTACTAGATGGAGCGTGGACAGTCGCCTAGGGAAAGTCTTTCCACGCAAAAAAACCTGAAACGAGAAAATTTCTGCCCAGTAGAAGTATGCGTTCTGAGCTTGAAAATCTTCCCACCTCCGTGTGTTAGATGGGTCAACGTTGAAAAACCTGTTGGACGAACGCACCAATAAGTACTAGGCCCCCTCGAAAGCAACAATACACCGGTGGAAAGAGGTCAGACACAGCGAGATGCGATTCACGGTCCAAGGGTTTAATGCCAGCAGCCATTTTCACTGCAGCAGGTTGAACACGCTTATTGAGGGTTGCGTTGGGAAAACGAGTTCACGCAAAAATTGGTTGACTTGGTGAGGAGTGCGAAAAAATTCGCCGGGATCTTTGCATCTGAAAGGAGGTTCGCAGATTGCAATGAACGCCACCAGGCGGTGGCTGGTGACATATGAAATTGATCGTGGTTGCCGGTAAGGAAACGAGTGGGTGAGAGAGCGCGGTCAAAGTAGGAGAAGAACAATTGCGTGTGTGCTATCAAACTGGGTATCACAGTGCCGTACCCCCACTGCACTGAAATGCTTCGGTTTCTAGACAGCCCCGTGATAGACGTCGTCATCAAGGTAGATAGGATTAGATGCGTAGTCCCGTGATCAGCAGGATGTTGTGCGTTTTCCGGATGATTTCTCAGGGTGAGCAAAACCAGTGTAATATCGCTGTTAGTATTTGTTGTTGCTGTTTCTTCTTTTTTTCAGGCCGGGGATCCATTCGTTCGTAACACACAGATCAGGTGGAGTGGACAACGGCAAAACAGGTCGTCCATAACCACGGGTCGAAGCTTGGGAAGAATATGAAATGAGATGAGATCAATAAGGTCTGGAGAGCTATAGGGGTCATCAGACAGGATATAGTCCTTTTATAGGGGAAAAAACGAACGTTTACCACAGTTATGGTGAGGACACCAGGGGGGTAAACAAGACAGGAAAAGATAGGTCTGCACTCAGTAGTGTAGTCATCAAAGTCAAGCTAAGATTGCTAATATAACTATACTACCTGAGACAGGACGGCTCACTGTAGGCTAAGAGGTGGCGTTCTGAGGGTAAATAAACAAGCAACGACTGCCAGGGGTGTGAATTCTGAGATGGTGGACTAGATTTCCTGGAGGTTTTTAGTGAGTTGGATGATATTAGGACAATCTGGGAGGGAAGGTGTATGTAAGAAAGATGGTCGCCAGTCTTCGAAGCACTACTATCAGCTTTAATCGACGAGCGGTGCACGACGAAGACTTTTGATGCTAGGTCCGCATGCTGATAGTGGAGAGTCTGGAGTCTCACTCTATGTTTCTACGTTTTTTATGTGTCCACTCTTGGGAGCAGCAAGTTGCTGCGTTCTTTTGTTTGGTTGACGAGGTGGGTTTTGGGTGCAGTGCAGCCCCGATATTGACGAAGGCAGCTTCAGCTATCCACGTCGACGTGGGAATCGCAGTCTCTTACGGCTATCACACGTAACTTGTTTTCACATTTCAGTTGTTTGGTGCGTGCAATAGTCTTCCTCCGACGTTCTATCTAATACGCAGTTAAAACACGCTTTTTGAGCAAGTGTTCCCGTAGGCAAGCTTGCCGCTTGAGCTGAAGTACACAGCAGTTCTAGGGAAGAGGTGCGAAACAGGGTTCCGCTTGGGGCAAGTTCAGCTGACCCCAAACGCATGGCCAGACCAATTGAAGTCACATCTCCTTGTGCTCCTGAAAACACGCCGGCGCGACCGGAAGCGTCCCTATACAGAAGTTCATAGTCAAGCACCACAGCTTCTCGACTACCAAAAACAGCGATGCTCTGGAGGAAGCAAAACTGTAGTGGAAGCAGCTCCCTAAGTACGTCGAGTTATCAGCGCTTCCTTCCATAACAGACGACAAAGGAACAGCAGTAAACTATACACCCGGATCCCAAATTCCGACCAAGATTGAGTCAGACGTGCGAGGACAAGTGGCGAAGCCTACATGCATTGACCTCGACGTCGGCGAATGCTGCGAGAACTCTACAAGCACTGAGAATGTGAAACTGCCAAACCTTAACTCCGTTCCGTCGAAAATGGCCTCTGCTTGTGGAAGCATTCATCGCACATGCCCTTGGCAGCCAGAGCCCAATGCATGACCATAGCGAACTGGAAAATCCCTCGTACTCTCAGCTGACCACGCTGATCGCAGGTGGATCGGGTGTCGATACAAACACGAAAGCAAGGTGGTTGCAGCCAGACATGCCAGGTAAGATTCGCTAAACCCGAAGGCTGCTTGCTGGCTTCAAGCCGCAATCCTCTGCGAAAACAAGTATCGTGGGAGCGCCACTAAAATAACTAATTCTTGATGCTGCCAACCAGCTCTCAGGGCCTCACAGCGGCACTTTTCCGAGCAAACCACGTCAGTGCGCCCAGGAGACCAAGCAGACACAAATTCGTCCCAAATATTTGATCAATAGCAAATGTGATCGTCCGAATGGCGCTATTGAAAGAGCTACAAGTGAAAGGAAGAAGACCTTCGCTGTGGAGTTATTTATTGTAAAATTCCAACTGAACAGTTCTAGACTATTGGACAGGAAAGCAAAGCTCTCATATGCATCTTGTTTACAAAAACTGAATATCCATCCTCTCTTTGAACGCGTGTTCCTGAACTTTTGTGTTCCATTACTCCTCCCAACTGAGCCCTCTTGCCTACTCGTTTCATTGACCTCAACTTCCAACCTGATGGACTACTCGTTCGAATTCAACCACCTCTGTTTCCCCATCCAACCTAACCCCTGCACCTGACCTCCCTACGACAATGCAACCAGTGAGTATGCTTGTTCTCAGGTTGCACCATACTTTTGAGAATAAACTTGCTATGTTCTCCCAATTCGGATCATCCCGCCTCCACCTCCACTTTTGCTCGTTGTGACTCCGGTCATTTACCCAACCGCCCAAGGCCATTCGTGGCCAGCGATGGGTTTCTGCTTTAGTTCATGTCAACCGACTGAGTATTTGAGTCAGTCGGACCTCGTGCCCATTGTCCCCTACAAGTTGCGAAAGAAACCTGTTTTTGTTATTTAATCGAATACTTCTCACAGTTCGTGACGTTGTCTCCTATTCACGGAGACCCCATTTACCCGCAAATTCCCCAGTCATGCTCCAATCTGACCGTAAACGCATTATCATGCCAGACGGTATGCCACCCACAAGTTGGGAATAAAGATTATTATGATTATTATTATTATCATCATCATTATTCATTGACTATTGCTCAACTCCAGGCAAACGCTACAAAGTGACCCTGCAAATTCCGTAATAGATCTCACTTCTGAAGAGATGCAAGGCGGATTTACGAGAAAACATATCACTCGCACGCCTCCCTCATCAGTCGTATCACCGTCGCACACCTCCCTCTAAGGGTCGGTCGCCTGCCACTAATTTCCATTTAGCTCCGTCAGGTCGGCTTCGGCAGAGGGTCTACTCGTTGATCAGGTGATTACTAATGCTCTAATGAAAAGAAGCGGTCTGTGTGTAATTACCTCCGTCTCCGGTCTCCATTGGAGCTCCGTAAGGCTGCGTTTTGGGACCACTGCTGTTTCTGGTATGCGTCAAGACCTCCCAGATGTTCTTGCGGACGAACTGAAATCCTGGATATCTAATGCCACTGACCTCCAAATGGATATAGACGACGCAAAGCAGTGGTCTTTGGGATGGAACCTTTTTCTGAATGACGAGAGATGCTTCCATTTATCAGACTCAGCGAATGCCTTCGTCATGCATGGTGAGAAAAGACCAGATGACGTCACAAAGATGGATGCCGAAAGGATTTTGTGTCTGACTCTATTCAAACATGTGCTTCTTACAGCACAGTGAAAAATTGGCCCAAGAGGCGTTCGCCGTTCTACGGATTATTCGGAGCGCCTTCACCCGTATTACTCGCATAGGCCTTCAAATAATCCATGGGATATACGTCAGACCGTATCTTGAATATGCCAATCAAGCTGTCTACTCAGGATGCTAGAGTGACCTAACCCTTATCGAGCGTGCGTAGCGACTTGCTTCGGAAATGTTTGCTGGCCTCAAGTGGGTTACAAAACGCGCCTCGCGGTGCTTGACGTATTTCCCCTGGAGTATCTTCGCCTCCGATTACAAATAATTCTTAGTTTTACCCTGTTTGAACAGTGCTTGGTCGACAGGTTTTTCGCCGTTGACGAAGCAAAAATACGGCGAAGAAATGGTAAAAAGATTTCAAGACTAGGGTGCACACTTTCGTTGGGAAATGTTCCTCTCGTTTCGGGTAACCTTCCTCCGACGGTTGTTCACGCTTCTTCGAGAATCCAGTTCAAAGCATCATTAGACTATTAGTCATGGGAGTCCTTGCGCTGGCAAAAATACTGCCCAAAGCTCGGAACTTAAAGCGCAGTGCAATGCTCTTTTTAAGTTGTGCTTTTTGGGAATGAGAGTTAGAGAACCGCCTCGGGAAACTTGGGTGAACGTCTTGATCCTATGTACCAATCCATGCACCCCTGAGGACTCAAAGAGCAGCTCTACACGATTTTTCACCTGTACATTTCAATGTACCGGAAGCCGCTCAACGACAGGAACAAAACGAACCCAGAATCTCGTTTGAAAGCCTCGATCCCGTTCATCTATCCGTGAATGGCTATTGCGTCTCCTGATGTAGGCAACGTCTCGAGATGCCTGATCTCTTTTCCTTGGAGTACCGTTGCCTCCGAGGGGACCTAATTCTTACTTACGTCATGCTTGAACGAAACTTGGCAACGAAACTTACCGTTGAACCGGCAAACACCCGGCGGGGACATAGTAAGAAAATTTTCAAGCTCAGGGCACATGTATTCATTAGACAGATTTTTTTCACTTCGGGTAGTAGCTGCGTGGAATGACCTCCCTCCGACGGTTGCACACGCTCCTTCTAGAACCCAATTTAAAGCACTATTAGACATTTATTTATGCGAATCCTCGCGCCGGCAACATATAGCCGCGCGCTGAGAAAATAAGGAGCAGTTTTCTATAGAGGAGAATATCGGTAGCTCAGGTAGCGTAGATGGTCGTTGGCTTGTTCGTTGAGCTGGGCAGCTGTTAGTATTTGTTGTTGCTGTTTCTTCTTTTTTTCAGGCCGGGGATCCATTCGTTCGTAACACACAGATCAGGTGGAGTGGACAACGGCAAAACAGGTCGTCCATAACCACGGGTCGAAGCTTGGGAAGAATATGAAATGAGATGAGATCAATAAGGTCTGGAGAGCTATAGGGGTCATCAGACAGGATATAGTCCTTTTATAGGGGAAAAAACGAACGTTTACCACAGTTATGGTGAGGACACCAGGGGGGTAAACAAGACAGGAAAAGATAGGTCTGCACTCAGTAGTGTAGTCATCAAAGTCAAGCTAAGATTGCTAATATAACTATACTACCTGAGACAGGACGGCTCACTGTAGGCTAAGAGGTGGCGTGGTGAGGGTAAATAAACAAGCAACGACTGCCAGGGGTGTGAATTCTGAGATGGTGGACTAGATTTCCTGGAGGTTTTTAGTGAGTTGGATGATATTAGGACAATCTGGGAGGGAAGGTGTATGTAAGAAAGATGGTCGCCAGTCTTCGAAGCACTACTATCAGCTTTAATCGACGAGCGGTGCACGACGAAGACTTTTGATGCTAGGTCCGCATGCTGATAGTGGAGAGTCTGGAGTCTCACTCTATGTTTCTACGTTTTTTATGTGTCCACTCTTGGGAGCAGCAAGTTGCTGCGTTCTTTTGTTT